CTCTAGTAGAGAATTTCCTGTACTGACATCTGAAACCTGCTTTGTAAATGTTGCATTTGAATAAATCATACTGTTTGTGAACTCGACTACTTGTTTTGGGGGAGGTGATCGGACCTACAGTTGACAGACTGTTTGTGAATCCGATACTGCCAGAGTCGAGCTTATAGTTAATCACACTGTTTGGGAACTCAATTCACTCCTAGGAAGGCGATCGGACCTACGGTCCACAGACAGGCTTCTTGAAGATTCTACACAGCCAGCCATAGCAGTCACAAATCATAGTAATGAAGTCACCAACAAGTTTTAATTTTGGTGCAGAAAAACAATCAATTCATGGACACGTCAGTCTCCTAGGAACGATAAAACTGAAAGTCAAAAGGGTCATCTAATCATCTTGGAATAAACAAACAGATAAATGAAAGGACTGAAATCATTCTGTCTACAGAATATCACAGTCTTTAGTGTTTTCGTAAGGTGAGCACAGTAGAGCACAGTAGAGCACAGTAGAGCACAGTAGTGAGCACACTGTTAGAGTAATGCTCACAAGACCCAAACAGGTTCTATGCATTATCATGTATAATGATTTGTGACCACATGTGGAAATTCAATAACAGCCCTTAAGACCCTAGTCTGGGAGACCTTACAGCCATCTGGGAGAACAAGAGCAAATCTTCAGCAGCTACTAAAGAGGAGAGCATGTCGCAGAAAATAAATGCAGTTACTCTTGTCTATGCCTCTATGCCCCCCCCCAACCCACTTAAAAAAAAATGGCAGGCATTCACAGAACTGTATAACTGCATGACCCAGAGATGGCATGCAGTTGAAGTGCTTGACAGCCCTGGTTTTCTTGATAAGTTTATAGCAAGATGTTTTAAAAACTGATGGAGAACAGAATTTTGGGAAGAAGTGAGGAAAGGGGCAGAACTGAACACTGCAAACTGTAACTTATTAAAGAAGCAAAAACAAAATTAAAAAAGAATCACAGAGATCAGGCTGCTCTTCAAAAGCAACTGGATACCAAGCATAATAAATTACAATCCTTAATGAGACAACATAGAGCCTCTCAAGTTTATCATTTTTCATGTGTCTACACACTTTTGTGGGAGGCGGCATCTGCCTCTACCGGAGCTATGTCTCCTCCCCACCATACACACACACATATCACCACAAAACTTAAGGGATATTTCATTTTGATAAAGGAGATCATTTTGACATACAAATGATGCCCTTGCATATTAAGAATATTAACTTTCTTCCTGATGGATCATTCCCAGAGCTATCAGCACAATCTACACAATTAGTTTTCACAGGTGGCTGTTTTGCCTCCAGTAAAACTGCTTTTCTTTCTCTTCCTGCAAGTCATAACAGAGCAAATATACATAAAAGCATTTCAAAATATGGAATAAATACTTTCATAACAGCAGTTGTGATGCAATGCATCATTTCTGTCTGACGTGAGTTATGGAATGAACTCTTTTTACCAGGATCAAAAATGGTAAGAAGAGGATGGAAGATGGGGAGCAGGATGGGGGCAGATAAGAATTTAGAATAATAGTGTTAAATAATCTCAAAGACACTAGGGGTAAATGCCAGCTGAGTGCAAGCACAACCTCCCTGTATACTCTATCGGGCAATCTATATAACCAGGCTGGTATTACAGCAAAAGACAAGTCTAGATATCTGTCCACAATTTACCCTATAGAACTGTGGCTCATCTAAAAATCCACCATACATCATGTGCCACAGGCAGTAGTGGACTTCCCAAAGGTTTACAAAAAGTACATTTGAAGTTATAAATTTCATCCTCATTTTCTGTTGACCATTGCCTACCAAAGCATACAAGAAAAGTTGTTTCTAAAAATTGCACATCCTACTTTCAAGAACTGCATTTGCAAGATACTACAATGTCAACATAAATCTCAAACATCTATTAAAACTGCTTCTAGGTCAAGGGTGATAAATAATAATGGTTCAGATATGACTTTTTTTTTCTCAAGGTCTTTCAGGATTGCAATATATATATATATCCTACAATATTGTTTAAACCTCTGGCGTGCTTCTCCAAAAAAGATAATGATTGTTTTTTATCCTATAGTGCAGTATTGTAGACTCCTTATTTTTATTAAATGTTCTTCTTTATATTCTTGACTTTTGAGGTTATTTGAACATTTAGGCTTCACAGCTGAATTAGATCTTCCACTAACTTTGCACATGCACGTCTAGAGATAAGGGATAAGATGTCACTGAGTGGCTATTGGTACCAGCAACCTACTCACAATCTACTGGTGACTTGTAATCTTCCATGAGGTGCCAACTAAGCAAAATAAAAGTCTCCTTGAAACTTAAAATATTTTGTTTTCTCTTTCAAAAAATGTAAAGCATGAAGTAGAGAAACATGATATTCTAAATCCAGAGAAAAGAAAAAGAGGAAAAGCTAAAACAAAATCTTTTGCCAGCTCCTTCAGCTTGTTGGTTTCTGTGAACAATTCCAATTTTCAACTAGGGATCATTTTGTGCATCACTGCAGCAAGTGGTCATTACCAGTAAAAACTTCATTCTCACTGCAGACAGAAAGTTTAGCAACATACTCTGCAGCTCTCCTAACAGCTCTCCTAGCTCTCCTTTGATAGCTGTTAAAAGTAACTATGGCAAATTAATCAACCAATTTGCAGTTCTAACTGCTAACAAATTGCTCAATAATGAAATATGTATCTTCGGGGACAGGAGAAGAATGAACTACTGTGTAAATATCTATCTTACATAATGATTAACTGAGACAAGATTGTCCATTAACTTAAAGCTCCAAATCTGTCACTCTCATTCATGCAAAATGTTCATGAAAACAATCTCTTCTGTAGTTACTATTGAACAGGATGGAAATCCTCTATAATATTTTATTTTCTGCGTAAACCAAATACAAAAGTCTGAGCAGGTACTCAGGACACATGAACAATTGCAATTGTAATTGTATATGTGTGTATATATATTCAGTCATTTGTGTGAACGCATTTTCTCTCTTAGGCTGTAAAGAAAGGCTTCATTAAATAAAAGGAAAGCTGATGAACATTCATGGGAGGACTTCAGATACAGGAAAGAACCAGAGGCTAATTACAGGAACATTTAAAAAGAAAATAAAATTAATCTGTAAAAAATGACAGCTTCACTATTAAAATACAAGAAACATATGGATATCCAAGACCAAACGCACTCATTTTTGGAAACAGAGAGACTTTTACTCAGACTTGCATTGAAGAGCTAACACAGATAAAAGAGCATGAGAAATAAATTCTAGTCCATTACAGCTGTATTTGTTTATTAAAGTTGCACACCTGTGCAAATTGTCTCAAGACAAATACTGAAGGCATATTTTGGCCCTTACTCAACAATAAGAGCTCAGGGTAATTTTTTACCCTAAAGTTGATAGGGTAGAAACCAGACAAGACATATTTTACATTGCCTTACTGAGACACAAGCGGAGAAACTTAATTTCCCAAACTGACTAATTTTCACAGTAACAGCACACCTCAACCACCATCATACCATACTTTCCACACAGATTAAGAGTGCCATTCACCTCAGGGTTTCTGAAGATAAACCAAGCTTACTCAAATATTATAATGCTATCAAAATTCCCTGAAGAAATTAGGGTTTAATTATGCACAACTAAGGAGTTTATCTTTCTTAATATTTTCATAATAAAATGGCACTTTCCACAAAGACCAGCAACTTTTGAATTATCACCAATGACTATAATATCAATGTCAATTCTACAGAAGCCTTCATAGTTTTGTGGCTTCATTTCAGAAAAAGAAACAGTTAATCCCTAATTAAGGTCTTAACCATCATCAGAGGTGAAATGGAATAGTCACAGTTAAGTCAATAAACCTATGCCAATGAAAACCAGCTGAGGATTTGTTTGTGTTTTCTCTGTTAGCTACTGCCATTTCAATAATCAGTAAGCTACACTTGGGTTCCTGCTCTCTCATTTCAAATGATCCTGAAAAAAAGAGATTCATCTTCTAAGGATATATCATATAAATGAATAAATCCAGTGCTGACATATTATGACCTTTAGCACCATACACAGGGAAATCATACTTCCTGTCTGCTGTCTTCTGCTTCTCCAAAGTAAATCCTTCTCTCCACTGTATTCAAATCTAACAGGCTTTCTCCCCTCTTCCCTAACAAGGAGGCACTGAGACAACAAGAAAGTACCCCTGTTCTTAGTTCCAAAGAAGTCCTAAACAGTCAGTAGCAAAAACTGCAGAGTTCAACTCAGTTCCTGCAAAGCTGGACTGAAACACACTCACAGGAGAATTGAACCTTCAGAGAATTTAGCTGCCAAAGTCTGATGCAATTGTAATACATATGCAAATTGAGCTTTTGCATAGACTTATAAATTGGCAATGTTTAGGCTTTTGTTCATAAGAACAACATAAATCAAAACCAAAATGACCTCTGTGTTAAATTTCAAGTCTTTGCTCCAAAGCATGAAGGTGCTACAGCTTCTCAATATAACATTTATAAACTTAATTAAAAACAATATTTAATTTAAACTCTTTCTTGGAAATGGCTAGCCCATTTTTGCTGAAATTTTAAAACTAAATTCAGCTTGAGCCAATATCCTGTAAGAAAAAAACTAAACTGTACCTTTAATTCAGACATTTTAGAAATTAAGCAATTCTTTATTTGGAACATGAGCTGAAAATATCCCTGACAAACAGATTATAATTACTAGTCAAACTTGATAGCAAATATGGGTCCTCAAAGGGTTCAGTGGCAGTGCTTAGGCTGTTCAGGAATTTGTATTTGAAATTATTCTGGCTTACAAGTCCTAGATCTAAAGGAAGTTGAAACACTTTCTCTTTTTCTATGCCCAGCTGCTTATAGAAAATGCTTCACCCAGCTTTTCTTATCCCTTCACCCTCACAAGATCTTCATATTCCTTTTCTTTTTGGAGTGTTTGGGACTGTAAATGGGTCTCATGACTTCCTATTGCAATTTTTGTCTTTCTACTTCTTCTCCAAAATTACAAGGAAAAGAGACAGCCAGATTTTTAAGACTTTCATGACTAACAGACACTTTGCTTCTCACCTGAGGCATACTGCATCTGAGAGGGTCTACCAGAGGAACCCAGGAACACACATATTCTCCTCTCTTCTTGACTCCTTCCAGTACTGTGATTAGGAAAAGGTCTCCTCTCCTAACCACTCTGCACGTTATCACACCAAGCATAAAGGCCATACAGAAGCCTTGTTCTCATACTATCCAGCAAGCTTTCCCAAAGGAACAGCACACTTGACATCATAATTTGACTTACCATTGCAAATGCATTTTTCAGAACTTTGTCAGGAAGTTAACTATACAATGGTAGTATAACATAAAATGTGTAAGATGGAATAAGTCAAAAATAGAACAGCTTCTTTAGCAAAAGCTTAATAATTTATGTAGTGAGGTCATATATTACGAATATGCAGAATCAAATTCAACTATGAAAGCATTGCCTCTAATGGGGGATTTCCATTACTTAGGGAGGTTGCAGGCTGTCTCAGATGACCCCTCGTTTCTGTAAAGATTGAATACAATAGGGAGCCTAGCCCTAGCCAATACTTGTGCATAAAAAAACTGGAAGACTACAGAACTGGTCAACCTTGGCATGGGACACAGTGAGTCTTTGTGCCCTTTCCAACCTAGTGCTTCCAAACCCAGGAGTCTACCTTACTTTTAGCTATGTCGTATGGCAGATCATAGCCTTTATAAAAAACATTATAGGAAGAAACTGAGGCTAGGATTTACCAAAACACTTAGATAGTATTTCATTTTGAAATAGTCTGGTATTTATTTCAGTGAAATGTTGCAGTTTGAAAGCCAGAGTGGTAGTGGTGGTGGGGGCGGAAGGCGATATCAAATCAGCATGGGATTCACGAACAGTCCGTGGACCGTAGGTCCGATTGCCTTCCTAGGAGCGAATCGAGTTCCCAAATAGTGTGATCACCTATAAGCTCAACTCTGGCAGTATCGGATTCACGAACAGTCTGTCAACTGTAGGTCCGATTGCCTCCCCCCAAAAAAGTAGTCGAGTTCACAAACAGTATGATTTATTCAAATGCAACATTTAGAAAGCAGGTTTCGGATGTCAGTACAGGAAATTCTCTACTAGAGCGTGGGATTTTTAGCTAGCTCTGATGTACAAATGTGCAATCATCACTCACCCCAGAAGATGGGAGAGGGCTCTCAGTCTCGAGTCTCCGCAGGCGGCATCCTGACGCAAGTTTGTGAAAAAGTTTCTCGCATTCATTTAAAGGTACAGTCAATCGAAAATCTAGAGCGCATGCTCAGTGAGGAGTGGTCATACCTCAGAGGTGGGTAACTTTGGGGATGGAGGTGTGGTTTTCACATTATAATGAGCAAAGTTCAAGCAAAGTTCATCTGAAAGGAGTGATTTGCCACCTTTGCTGTCTGAGCACCGGACATGTTATCGTATATCTCCCATTAGACAGCCACTGTGCGGCTTATCAGCGGCCCAGCACAGGGAGTGCAACAGAGTTTGGCCGTGGTGTCTTCACTCCGCTCCATCCTCCATTACTCCCCTTTGCAGTTGTGAGGAGGGCAGATTGTGTTGCCTAGGGAACCGTGGAGGAGCAGAGTCCATGCGTAGGAACCATCCTGGAAGTGGCAACTGTGTATCACCCCAAGCAAGCTTCTGTAATGCCAAAACTTCTGTTAGGCCCTAGTTTTCCTCTCAGTTCCTGCTTTCAAACAATTCTTCCACAAACAATTCTTCCACAATTATTTGCCAACTCATACATTTATTTAGAGCATTAATTCACAATCACAAAATTCTCACAACTAATACATTATTATACAGGTAGTGGAAGTCTAGGTCAAAAGCTTTTTTGTTGCTGTTGTTATGCAGAAACAAGGCAAATTTGATTTTCAAACCATTCTAAAAAATAGGATAGTGAAGGACCTTATCTGAAAACCCTGATCTGCACTAGAAGTGTAACTGAAGAACAGCCTACACCATCTCAAACATGTTTCTTTGAGGTTTTACTGCATTAAAGAGTCATGACTTCTACCAACATTACTCTACTGGAAAAAGTTTCTATTGTAGACCTAGCATTTGCCTTGCAAGAAGATATTTCAAGAAGTGATGGACTGAGTTTTATGAGATCAAGTTTTTTTTTTTTTGCTCCAGTTGGAGCAGAAATATTGTAAATATCAAACAATTTGTGGTATTTCAGCAATATGAAACATGAGAATGTCAAAATGAGTTTTTTAAGAGTTCAATTAGCTATTTTACTTCTTTAAAAATACTGCTGAGAAGAGAGTCAATGCTAATCACAAGTATTTAAAAACATTATTTTTGAAGTATAAATATTTGAACTAAGCTTAGGATTCTAGCAATGCTTGCTCTAGGACCAAACATAGGGGTAAAACACTCACCACATTCTTATTCAGGATTTCCTTATTTACATATAAATCCTTAACACTTGATGCTATGTTTATCTTATTATTTTTTGTGAATATCTGTTATTTTTTAGAGTCATTATTTCCCATGCTTGTAAGTATGGTCATTATTCTTTGTTGTTACCTATCTAGCTTTATATTTATACATATTAAAAGACATAAAAAGACAGTATATGAACCAGTCTAGATTGCTGAGTATCAGTGATTTTTTTTCTGTTATATTCCATAATTTCCATTGTATCAACTATAACCTTTATCAAGGAAGATGTTACCTCTCATCTGAAAAAGCTGAAAATCTCCTTGTAGATATTGAAAGGCTGCTGTTAGGTCCCCCTAAAGCCTTCTCTTCTCCAAGCTGAACAAGGCCAGTTCCCTCAGCCTCACATGCCCCAGTCCCCTGACCAGCTTGATGGCCCTCTGCTGAACTCGTTCCAGTTTATCAATGTCCTTCTTTAACAGCTTGATGTCTACCAAACCCCTAGGTCCTTCTCAGCAGAGCTGCTTCCCAGCCAGTCAGTCCTCAGCCTGTATTGTTGTAAGGGTAATTCTTTCTAGGCGCAGGACTTGGCATTTGGCCTTGTTGAATTTCACGTTGTTCCTCTGGGCCCGTTCCTCGAGCCTGTCTTAATCCCTCTGAATGTCAGCCCTGCCCTTGATCATATCCACTGGTCCTCCCCAGTTTGGGGTCATATACAGACTTGACAAGATCACACTCCATCACTTTCTCCAGGTCATAGATGTTAAGCAGGACAGATCCCAGGAGAGACTGTCATGGTATTCTACTTGTTACCAGTCTCCAGGTAGAATATGATCCATCATGCAAACATTTTTACCCATCTGGCTGTCCATCAATCTAGATGGTAAGGTCTCAACTCAGATACAAAAATATTGTGGGAAACAGCATTAAAAGCTTTCCTAAAGTCAGTGACATCCACTTCTCTCCCCTCATTTACAAATCCAGTCATTTCATCACAGAAGGCAATCACGTCTGTCAGGCATGATTCACCCTTGGTAAACCCATGCTGACTGTTCCTAATCACCTTCTCCTCCTTTGTGTGCCTAGGAATGTGTTTTGAGAAGACTCGCTTCATGATTTTCCCAGGGACCTAAGAGAGGCTGACTAGTCCCATTTTCATTGTTCAGCCTTTTACTAAAGTAGCAGTGGAAGCTCTTCTTGTTAAATATAATGCAATACAATATGATGAAAAGGATGCAATTTTTCAAATGAAATAACTTTTTAATTTACATTCAGTTTAATATCTTTTTTTTTCTTAAAATAGTGTTGAGCCAAACTAGTGCCTAGGGACTGTTAAAGTATATTAATTTTTATCTTTACCTACATTTCCCCCCATAATTTTTACATATTGTATAATTAAAACTGGAGAAAAAAAATCAGAAAAGGAACAGGTGAAAACAATGGAATTAGAACTTCAAGCTAAGAACTGAGATGTTGAAAGGCTGTGATTAAAACCACTGTTCTGGAGCAATGAGAAAGATGACAACATGGATCAGGCTGTTTGCCCCATGGACACATATATACACTATGCTTTTCCATTCTCTCCTAGAAGTACTTCACTAGAGGTTACTGGCAAACACCACTGTTTTCTGTTTTCTATTTTTAATTGTCCTATGTCATTCCAATAGGCATTCATGTTTCCTCAGACTTTTCAGAAGAGCACAATGAAAAACAAGAAAAAAAGCTTCAGACTAGTGCAGCAAGGGGCAGAAATGGGAGCCCCAGACCTGCCACCAACAGAGATACAAGTATCCCCTTGGAAAGCAGTACATTGGTATAACCATATCTGAGGGAATCAACAGATTTGATTGTCAGCTATTCTCCCCCCAAAATAAGTTGATAATGCAAAAAATTATTATGTAGTTAAATAGAGGAAATATAAGTTAAGCAAACCATGTTTTCAGCAGATGTAATGGGTGCATAAAAAATGAGCATCTCTGTTTTTGAAATACATCTGTTATGCCAAGACATATTCCTTCTATATACAAGTATGATGTGAAGAGAATCAACATCAAGTATCTAAATATAACAAATGTAATTCAAACTAAAAAAAACATTAAACTATGAGTGCATAGAAGTATAGACACCTGGGTCTTGTGACATTTTTCTGCTGGATCTAGTTTAAGCAGTTTAATATTTTTGTATCTATTTATTTCAAGTCGCTTATGCCATATAAGCCATTATTTCTGCCAACAGAGATTTTCTTTCTCGATAGGCAATCTGTGCACATACAAATTTGAAAGGTAGGATAGAAGCTCCAAATGTTTTAATAGTCTATTATCAAAAATTATCCCCTGACAACAATATATCCCCAGGCCATGTGCTTTAGATCAACCTAAAGAGAAAAAAAAATAAAAAAAGGAATTTTATCTAGAGAGAAATGTGTTCTGAAGAGGGTAGAAGACTCCAGTTTAAGTTTTCAATCCAATCTACTTGTCTCTACATATAAATCTGCTGGATTTTATAAGAGTATTGCAAAAAATAAAAAGTTTATTCTTGATATTCATGCTGTTTTAATAAGAAAGAAAAAAACTCAAAAGAAAAATTAAATTGGGAGGTGACAGGAAACAAACCAGTCTTAGATTCACACACTGATTTACAGTAATAAAGCAGAATCTATGAGTTCTGGTAAATGTGAGTGCAGTCATGTTCATTACATATGTTGATAAGTATGAAGGCAAGTCTCTGTAGGCCCTTCAAATATTGCACACAGCCAATTTAATGCAAAGCAGAAGTCATCAACTGTTGGACGAACATTCGCTTTCATTCCCATATGGATATTAAGACAAAGGGGGACGGGATGACCTCCTCATTTATTTACAGTTAAAGGGTAGGTCTGTAGGAATGAGCACGAGACCAGCAAACTATGCATTTGGTTTATGGGAAGATACCTCCCACCTTCAGAACATTCTCCTGCCACAGCAGAGAAAGTGCCTTGGTTTTGTGTAACCTCCTCCCCTATCTAGCATCTGCCTTGTCCAATCTCGCTTGGGCCCACTCCAATAACAACATCTGCTTGGCAACTTTTCAAACCCAAGGATAGTTATCTAACTGAGGCTTTTGTGCTACACTGTTATTCAATGTGAAGAAATATCTCCTTAGTTGAAAGAGTACTTTAGAAAAGCTATGCAGCTATTACCAAGTGAAGCACGAGGCTAATAACCCCCACCTGGTCATCAAATTAATTATGACATCTGAGTCATGATAACTCAGAAAGCACACACAACTGCAGACTTGTCACATGTAGAGATAAACATGTTCTGCATCGGTGGGGGGAGGATGGACAGACAGACTAAAAGGTGCAGAAGAATATCTAAGCCTCAACTGTTTGATTTTTAAAAATGTGCATTACTAACTTTCCAAAGGGAAAAATCTAAAGGAGAGAAGCAGGGAGTGGATGAAGTTTTCTTGCAGAACATATATAGGCTTTATGAAAGAGAGAAGGGACAAAAAAAAACAGGGGATTAACACACTGATCTTTACAGTAAAGCTATAAATCGCCATATTCCTTTGCATGAAATCTTGTTTGGAAAGGCACTCTTTAAAAGCCCGGTGAAAGAGGTATACATATCACCTTCCCTTCCTCAGAATGCAATTACTTCAAACCTTTTGTCAAGATATATAATTCCAGACTGAAGCACACTTGATAAAGTCTAAGGTAGGGAAAATACTGTAGCGACAAATTAAGCTCTACTCCAAGCTAAGTGTCTGGCAAGCAGAAAAAAGTAATAATTTTAAAATATAAAATATAGACAAGGCAGATTTGACTGAGCCTAGACACTGAAGAATAAGGTACTGCCACAATTAATATTCAGATTTTGCCTATTAATCTGACTACTGATATTGTTGCATCATTATGCCACGGTTTGAGTAGAGGACAGTTTCTTCCTTTCAATCACAAACATGCATTTGCTTGTTAAATTTCTTTGGTATTTGTAGACATTGTATGCCTTTATTATATTTTACACTTTTCTGGAAAGAATTGTGATTTTTCCATTATACAAGGTATAGCAAAAAACTCTTGGAAGTTAAGTTCTCATATGTGAAATATAATTTCTTAAAATGATTTGGACATTATTATCAGATTTATTATCAAAATAAAGCAGTAGAAAAATAGACTATTAATACATTAGTGTACTATGGTTAAGTTTAGTGAACTACAAGTATCACTAAACAGAAACTCTGGGAATATATTTGTGTGCTATTTGTATTAGTCCCAACTGATTCTTTGTCAACAACACTTAGTCCAGAATAATAGAGTGTCTGAAGAGCTGAATGACCAAAAAAAAGTCCCCTTCCCTTTTTTTTTTTTTTTTTTTTAATCACTTAGAAAGGCAAAAACCATGCTCTAAAAAGCCATAAAATACAACCTGAAAAAGTAGATGGGATTGCTACAGGACAGCTTGGTCTATACCAGTTCACCTGTTAGTACATATTTTTCCACTGTATGAGTAGCAACCTCCATCCTTCTCAAATAAGGACCTCCAGCATTATTTCTGCTGAAATCCTATTGTAGAGTTAAATTTCTGATAACACTATACTGGTCTTAAAAACTCTTTGTTTTTAACAGGTATGCTAATTATTCAGAAACCAGTACTGGAACCTTATTTTACTTACCCATTTTCATTGTTTTTATTTTAATTATAATTTTCCTATTCAATAGATGTTTTTTCTTTGATTTATTCGATTATATTTCTTAGCCCAAAGTTAAGATATAACAATTCAAAATAAATTTAATATTAATAATTTAATATTAACAGATATTTCTAGTATTGCTTTTGTCATGTCAGGGCCCTGAATGCACCAATAGGCCTTAACTGCTCTGATCAGCTTCACCTGGATTTTCTACCTACAGCCTTTGCCCATGAGCCCAGGAACCCCATTTCAGCTCATGCCTGGGCATTAAGACCCTGCCTGAGTTATGTGGTAGGAGTACTTGGCCATGGACCTTGTTGATCTTGGCACTGACTTGCAGACTGACTTCCCAGCTTGACCTCAGATCTGCCTCATCACCACGAGCGTTGAGCATCTTGGTTGAACTTGACTACTGTCTCTGGGTCTACCCTGCTCACCTTGCTCAGGTACTGTGGGGCTGGGCCCTGGCTGGAGAGGCCCCTGCCCTGCTGGCCACATTATCATAGAATCATAGAATCATGATGGTTGGAAAAGACCTTCAAGATCATCGAGTCCAACATTAAGCCCTTCAACATCACGCATGCTAAACCATGTCTTTAAGTGCCTCATCTACATCATCATGTGCCTCATCTCATCTCATCTTTCTTGAACGCTGCCAGCGATGGTGACTACACCACTTTCCTGGGCAGCCTTTTCCAATGCTTGACTACTCTTTCCGTGTAGAAATTTTTCCTAATATCTAACCTGAACCTCCCCTGGCTCAACTTGAGGCCATTTCCTCTTGTTCTATTTTTGGTAGTTATTCTGGAGAAGAGATTGACCCCCGCCTCACTACAACCTCCTTTCAGGGAGTTGTAGAGAGCGATAAGGTCTCCCCTGGGCCTCCTCTTCTCCAGACTGAATAACCCCAGCTCCCTCAGCCGCTCCTCATAAGGTCTGTGCTCAAGCTCCTTCACTAGCTTTGCTGCCCTCCTTTGGACACGCTCCAGCGCCTCCATGTCTTTCTTGTATCGAGGGGCCCAAAAGAGAACACAGTATTCAAGGTGTGGCCTCACCAGTTCTGAGTCCAGGGGGACAATCACTTCCCTTGTCCTGCTGGCTACACTGTTCCTGATACAAGCCAGGATGACATTGGCCTTCCTGGCCACTGGGGCACACTGCTGGCTCATGTTCAGCCAGCTGTCAGTCAACACCCCCAGATCCTTTCCTGCCACGCAGCTCTCCAGCCACTCTGCACCAAGCCTGTAGTGATGCATGGGGTTGTTGTGACCCAAGTGCAGGACCCGGCACTTGGCCTTGTTGAACCTCTTACAGTCGACCTCAGCCCATCAATCCAGCCTGTCCTGATCCTACTGTAAAGCCTTCCTACGCTCAAGCAGATCAACTCTTCCTCCCAGCTTGGGGTCACCTGCAAATTTGCTGAGGGTGCACTTCATCACAGAATCACACAGAATCACAGAAAGGTTGAGGTTCGAAGGGACCTCTAGAGATCATCTAGACCAATGCCCCTGCTCAAGTAGGGACACCAAGAGCACATGGCACAGGGTCGCATCCAGGCGAGTTTCACTTCCAAATCGTCCTTGGCTTTCCTCGTTGCATCCCTGCATTCTCTGACAATGTTCCTATATTCCTCCGAAGTGGTCTGACCCTTCTTCCACATTACGTATGCTCTCTTTTTAAGTTTTACCAAGAGCTTCTTGCCCACCCACACAGGTCTTCTGCCCTCCTTGCTTGACTTCTTTCTTATAGGAATACACAGATCCTGAGTTCGGAGGAAGTCATGCTTAAATATTAACCAACTCTCCTGGACCCCCTTTCCTTCTAGGGCCCTGGCCCAGGGGATTCCTCCAAGGAGCTCCCTGAAAAGGTCAAAGTTAGCTCTCTTGAAATCCAGCATTGCAATCCTACTTCTTGCCCAGCTTCCTCCTCACAGGATCATGAACTCCAACGTCTTGTGGTCGCTGCAGCTGAGACTGCCCCCAGCCTTCACATTTCCAACCAGATCATCTCTGTTTGCTAGTACCAGGTCCAGCGGCATCCTTTTCCTCATTGGCTCATCTACCACCTGCATCACGAAGTTATCTGCAACGTTCTGCAGGAACCTCGTGGACTGTCTGCTCCTAGCTGTGTGGTCTTCCCAGCAGACATTGGGGTGATTGAAGCTCCCCATAAGGACCAGGGTCTGTGATTGTGAGGCTTTTTGCAGCTGCCTGTAGAAGGCCTCATCCTCTTCCTCGTGAGGAGGCCTGTAGTAAACACCCACCACAGTGTCACCCCTGTTGGCCTGCCCTTTAATCCTCACCCACAGGCTCTAAACTTGCCCTTTGTCCTCCCCTAGGCAGAGCTCCATACATTCCAGTCACTCTCTCACATAAAGAGCAACTCCACCACCTCATCTTCCTGGCCTGTCCTTCCTAGAAAACACAAAGCCATCCATGGCCACATTCCAGTCATGAGAGCTGTCCCACCATGTCTCAATAAATTAAGTTAACTTGAGTCAATAAACCTATTCAAATGAGCCAAGCTTTCAGGCTAAGGTCTTAATTTAAGAACATTATTATTATCTGACGACTACACAGTAACATATTTATTGCTGTTTTATAATGGCATCAGTATCAGCATATGCTTGTTCCCCTTCCCCCCCCCTTCAAATCAGCAAAGCCATATCATGCCTTTAAAAACAAACAAAACAAAAAAAGAAACAAAAAACCCCACCAATTTCAAAAGGTACCTTTACCTAAAAATGCTGGCATATCCATGGCAGATGATTAGATCATCTCAATAATTTGTTCTAACAGTTGAACTGCAAGTTATTATAGACAGTCATAATAGGCAGTTTGTCAGGATATGGGGACAATGACTGTCCCTCACACCAGGAGTACTTCATAAATATAAGCAGTATTCAGGAAGTAGTTTCACAAAGACAAAAGACAAAGATCACACTTTCTCCACTTTTAATAAGTTTAGATATTGCAGTCAAACTAGTAAGTACACAAAATCTTTTCTTTAGCAACCTCAGACACTCCTGAATAGAACAGAGGTTTGTAAGAAAGTAGTGTTCTAGTACTTAAGAAATGAGGAAGCCATTTATGACACTGATATGAACTGACACTTTATTTAATGTCAAGAAATTACTTTGAGCATTTGGGAGAGAGGCTTTTTTTTAAGTTGTGTGACATTTTCATCCTTTCCTATATGCCCCTTCATTCTTTTCATTCCATCCATTCCAGCATTTTCTTCATTCTTTTCAATATGCCCCACTGAAAGGAAATATTATTTGATAATAAATAAAACAAATATAAATGTATTATAAATAAAACTATGACTAATTTTATATTAAAATGATAATATGTTTGATATTATATAATATATGAATAAGTATATAATAATACATTTATATATTAAATATATAAATTATTCATAAATAACATTATGTGATTGATAGAGACTTATGGGTATCTTCCTCTTGAAAAATATTATGAGCTTTAGCACACTAGTAGAAATAAAATTCATTACAAAGCAAGAGAGAATGAAGCTTCTCTCTAGCTGCTAGAAATCTTTATGCCACCTTTCTGGCGGACGAGTGTTGTTGGTTTGTCCCCACCGGTGTTGCTGTTGGCAGACAAAAGGGGGTGATGCCTGCAGCCGGACCATATCAAGCAGAGACAGCAGTTGCTATGGAGCAACACCTGGAAACCCGATGGGGTGTGAAGTCAGAGCTGAGGACTTCTTGTCAGCTCTTGCCACAAAGAATTGGAGGAAGTGGTGGCACCACTGCAAAATGGAAAGGTCAAGTGGCTTGTAGACATTTTGTGACCCAGACAAGAGATCAGGTCAAGAGATTCAGGTAGTGAAATCAGCTCTGGTCAATTAAACCTAACAAGACAGGTTGCATAACATAGCAGGGCTCTTGACACTAAGGCCAGGAGCTGAGGCCAGCCTCATAAAACACATCTTTTAACATTTTTTGGCATTAACATTTTATTGGCATAACAAATCTAAGGCAATCCATCCAAAAACTGCAGGCATCAAAATAATAATAGATGTTTTCACACTTTTAAATCAGAGACACTGGTAGTATAGCCATCCTTTCAATTATATCTGCTATCATTTTCAATGGCATTAATGACAGAATGGAAAAGAGGTTCTGAAGTAATTACTTTTACTTATGTATTATATACAATATCCTTTAAAAAAAAAACTTGCAAGCAAATCTAGCATTTCCTTGTAATTTGTCTCATCAGAAATTTATATTGAAAATGTTTTGGCATTTTGGTTTCAATGTAGTTCATCAAAAAAGAAGCCTACAAATACTTATGTGTATTTTTTAAAGCAGAGTCTATAAGTACTATATTCTAAGATGTGCAATTTTTATATTTCAAAGAAATAAATGTTTAAATAGTCAATTCTATTAGATGTTCTAATATAATGCTTTCTGAAGAATGCTGCAAGCTGTCTGACTAAGAATTAAAGCACTCAATTTCCCAGAGCAGAGTTGACTTAGAGTTCACTCCTGTATTGAGTTTATTCTTGAATTGGGGGCAGTGGGTCAATAATTAAAAGGACCTTTAAATCTGTAAAGGTGCTTTTAGTAAAGGTACATTTAAAACAGTGAAGGACATAGAAATTTAAAATAATCCTTTATCCTTTAGAGCTACATAGTTACAGTTAAAATGTGTTAGGCTGCTTTGGGCTAAAAGAACCTTTAGATTTTGAATGGACTTCAGCTAGGTTTTTACATAATTTATTACCTAACATTGCATTGCAGTTTTTTAATTATTTATTATTTATTTCCCTTTTTTTTTAAAGCAGAAAATAGTCTAAAAAGTTCCCCAAAGCCTTGGATAATTATGGGGGAAGTTAACATTAAAGTTATTCAGTACATGCCCATTATTTTAAGTCACCTTTTAGATTATTGGCCCTTCTTCAATTAGACATACACACACATAGAAATCGAGTTTGAAATGCCAATCTCCCACCATCTCTGAAATAAACTAGAATAGCCACACTAATAATGACATTCACAAAAAAAAATGATGAAAATATACTTAAATAGACTTGCATCAAAATAGCCGTCTTTGTGAGATTTCAAACTTGGAAGAGAGCTTTCAAGCAGAAACGAATTTTATTATAAAAAAGTGGCAAAAAGGAAAGCTATACCAGAGGAGTATCCCAACCTCACACAGAATTCATTGCTTGCAGACAGTACAATATAAATCTACTATTTTCCTTTGGACAAATCTAATACTAAGATTTATTTCCCTTCTACTAGCTTTTAAGCCTTTTAAGCTTCCAATTTAAATCTAGGATTTCTTCGCTTCCACAAAACAGTTTATTATTATGAAAGTTGAGGGGGGTGTGAGCGTGTAAAACCATGAAAGCATCATATAAAGAGTGACATCTTGTTATTGTCAAAGTCTAGCTAATCACACAGGCCTTTTTCATATTTGCTTAGTATCTCCAAACATGTGATTTCTTCTCCATCCCAAAAAGAAGCAACAAGTCTATTCAATTAAATTAGCAGTTGCACTTGGCTAAAAACACAAACTCAAGTGATTACAGGAAAGCAACATACTACCTTGCCACTGAGAAAGGAATGCAATTTTTTAGAAAGCCTCTTAAATTATGTTTAGCGTTGTTGTATGCTGCTCTAAGAACCAGAGCTTTTGATAGCCACCAGTCCTTAAGCTTTCTGAAATTCGTCCTCTACCAAAGACAGGGAGGAAAAGAACAAAAGGAAAGAAAAAATATGGAGTTGAACACAACTCTGATTCAATAAATATTAAACACTAAAATAATTTAAAATCCTGTGGTAGTATTAACGAACTTTTCACAACTGTAAGAATTGAGTACATACAAAAAGGAACTTAAAATATAGATCTTAATCTATTATTTGAAGCATTCCCTTTATTAATTAGCTGCCTTATTATAATTTTGATGAAGCCTTTTTGTTTCTTTATTACTTTATATGTTCTTGCTATTGATCTAAGTATGATAAGTTAACACTGATGCCTAAATTCTCAACTGATTGCACAAAAATTAACTATAGATTTCCTCTGTCTTAAACATGAATAATATGAATTAGTCCTGTGAAAGTGACCCCCAGGTTGTATCTAGTAGGAGGGAAAATATCTATATGCACACATATTTAATTTTAATATTCAAAGTGTGAATTAAATACAGAAATTTCTCTCTTTCTCACCAGTGTGTTACCAGATAGTCCTATTCTGAGTGAAACTAAAAGAAACTGTCTGTAGAGGGATGGCTAGAGAGCCGCGTACATGGCTGCCCAGCAGGCCTGCTCAATTCCAGCCTTCAGGTTTCAGTGAAAGAACAAAGGGAGTGCTAACTAGGAGATAAGAAAGTAGACCAAGGTCAGAGGGAATAAAAGAGCTGTTGAACTAAAAGGATGAGCTAAACAAGTAAGGGGGGCTGTAAGGGTCTGAGTTAGATCATTGTCTACCAATTAGGAGCCTGTGTAATTACATCACTAATTGTTAAGAATCATATAAATGTACTGCATGAAAAGCTAATAGACGAAGCCAGTTCCAGCTTCTA